GTGGGGGCGCTTACGGCGAGTGGGTGCGTAGGCGGCAGCTTCTCGGGCAGCCCCACGTGTGGGATGAGTGTGCGCCGCTTGGCGATTCTGTATCTGAGATCGGTAACCGTGTGGAACACCCCGTCCATCGGGAAGATCTGCAGCTCTATCGGCAACCTATACACACACACACACACACACGGTGGCTGTGGGTGTGGGTGTGTGTGGCTGTCCCAGTGTGCCTAGCTACCGGTGGTCTTTGATGTACTCCTCCAGCTCTTCGTGTACTTCGGGTTTGTCCTGCCCCCTCTCGACCACTGCAAACAGCCGCAGCTTGCACGAGTGCCACACGCGGTGCTTCTGCAGAAGGAACGGCATCAGCAGCAACAGGCCGCCGTCAGTCACCACCCACCATATGTCAATCGTCCCTGAAAATCAATTATACAGGTCGATCCCACCATCACCCACACACAATCCACCCTTCGATGCCTGTGTGGGTGTGGGTGTGGGTGTGGGGGGCAGGCAAGGCTCTAACCGTTCATGATTTGGTTGTTGAGAGGGAATGTGGCCGTGTTGTTGGTCTTGAGGAGTGCCACCGACTTATCGAGGCACGTGCAGAGGTGGATGGTCTTGATGAGCGCCACGCGGGCGTCCGTGTTGACGGCCCAGTCGATCGGCCATGACGCCACGATGCAGTTGGGCTCAAAGCCACCCAGGCCGGCTGCATCGAACCAACACACACAGAGAGAAGCCGGGCTGCATGGGATGTGTGTGTGTGTGTGTGTGCGTGTGTGTGTGTGTACATACATAGTTGTATGATGTGTGAGAGGGCCTCGAGTCGTTTGCCCGAGTAGAGGATCTTGGCGAAACCCATGATGTCGATGTCACGCAAACTCTTGGACACCGTGTGGTTCCTACACGCACACACACGCACGCACAAAGCAGCGGAATACCGTGGAAGACCCTCCCCTGTGTGCGTGTGTGTGTGTGTACCAGTTGCGCAGTGTGTTGAATTTGAGTTTGGTGGGGTCCTCGTCGACGATGCCGCCGAGGATGGTCAGCCCACGGCCCTCCTTGAGCTGGGAGACAAAGTGAACCTGACAACACACACCACACCACACCCACGAGAGATAGACATTGCCACGAATGCAATCAATGCTGCGGAGTATCTATCCCTGTGTGTCTGCATGCACACGCATCACGGACTGACCAGTTCAGTGTCGTTGAGGACCAGCCCCTGTGAGCCGTCAGGGTTGGGCGTCAGGCCGACCAATGCCAGCACCTGCGGGCGCCAGTTCTGTTCAAACACACGGTAGGTTAAAAGGCAGACAGACAGATTTGGACACCCCACAGACAGGTGTGCTGTGCCAGGGCATCTGTGTGCAGATATATCAGATACTTTGGTGTGTTGGTAGGGGTCGAGGTCAGTGAGGAAGTTCCTGGCCCACTCGAACTTGACGCCACGCACGCCGTCGCCCCAATTCAGCTGCTGGCTGTGGTAGCTCACGTATCTATCACAAACCAGACCACACACAATGTGATATCAGCGAGAGGGAGGCAGCACCTATTGCGTGGCACGGGTGGGTGGGGTGCGGCTCATGTGTTTACCTGAAGAGGATGAGGGCAAAGATGAAGGCCGCCAGGCACGCATACCACGATATCATGATCATCAAGGCCAGACACAACAACATACCTACACACACACACACACACACACAAAAGATGGAGTCGAGTCGCGCTGCAGCCGACCACACCCTCCCCCCACACCGCACACACACACATGCGCAACTGTGCTCCCTTCCTCCCGCTCACCCACCAATCATGGCCACAGACCAGTGGTAGAACCGAAACCCTGGACGCCACGAAGGCATCTGCAAAGCACACACACAACACACAACACGCACACACAGGAACGAACAATCAGGCAAAACGGTACACATGACTGTGTGTGTGTGAGTTAGGCTAGGCCCCACCAGGCCCCTTTTGTCTGCCCTTTCACATCTCTCTGTGTGGGTGCGTTCCGGTGCGTTCCTTCCCCTGCCCTCCCTCTGACCTCACCTTGAGGACAGAGAGCAGAAAGCACGCCAGGTTGACGAACAGGTAACACATTAGGAAGAAGATCGTAATGATGGGCGCCACGAAGTTGAGGTCTCCGCTGCAGATGCACCCCGCACAGATGACGGTGCTTAGTGCCAGCGCCAGGCGAGGCTCCTGCCCCGGACGCACAGCAAAGCGCCGCAAAAAGGGCACCGTCCCGTCACTCGCAATGGCCGACAGCAGCCGGGGGGCGCTGATCAGCGACTGGAGGGCGGCACCGATGGTCGACGCCATGACGCCGTACGACACCATTTCCGGCACAAGGGCGCTGGTGGATGCGAAGAACTTGTCGTTGACGAGGACGAATCGCGTGGCGACGGCGCCGTTGATGAGGCAGAAAGAGAGGTAGATGACGCTGGTGAGTATTTGCGCGAAGAGTGTGCCGAAGGGGATGTCCTTGCCGGGGGTGCGGAGGTCGGCCGACCGATTGGACCCCGCCATGATGCCGGTGCAGGCGGGGAACCACAGGGAGAGCAGCCAGATGAAGGCCCTGCTGTCGACGATCTTGCCGTCGTCACCCTTCCAGTCGGTCTCGGGCTTCGGGATGATGGCGAACTGACGGATGTCGTAGTCAGGCCACAGGTTGTCGGCAAACACACCCGTGTCAATGCCCACAAAACCCCTGCCGGCCGGTATAATGAAAGACAGACAGATAGAGAATCATGAGGTGTCGCGGTGTGATAGATGGGGTGGATGCCGCCGTGTGGACTGACTGTTTGAATGACACCCACCCGTCGGTTTTGAGCCGGACTGTCTGTGCCTTCCGGTTGATGACAACGCCTTCAGCCTCAGCCTCCGTGACGATTGTCACAGGCTCTGTGAGGATGGTGTTGTTGACGTTGGGGCTGCCGTCCCCCAAGTCAACGATCGTAGTGGTGACTGTCCCGTTCTCAATGGTCGTCACGCTGATGCCGTTGGAGAACGTCACGACGCTGGTGGTGTTGTCCTCTATGAACACCTCACCCTGGAGGGGCGTCGTCTTGTACGTGGTATTGGGTGTGGTTGTGATGAAGTCTGCTGGGACGGCGGCCAGGTCCACTGTGGTGGGGGTGAGGTCCGTCGGCCCCACAAAGCAGCCCAGGTACATGAAGCCGATGACCATCAACACCACCATCAGAAAGACAGTGCCCGCACGAGCCACCCATTTCAGACCAACCTAACAGCCAGCACACATGTGTGTGACGAATGCAAGGAAACACACACGATGCAGGTAGGGTGGTCTGGGCCGTCCCCTTCCTTGCTCTGTCTGCTCACTGACCGCGACGGCGAACACGCACAGTGCGAGGCAGATGAGCCCGGTGACTCTGACGTTGTTGAGGTCTCTTCCCGCCTCCGTCGCGGGGAATATCTGGGAGTCCGGCTGCACCACCTCCCACGCCTCCACAGTACCGATCAGATACATGGACGCGCCGACACTGTTGCCCAGGTAGAAACACAGACCCACAGCCGCGCCAATCGGCGGACCTGACGAAGCGGTCGACACACACAGACACACAACACACCATACCATGATAGAAGCTCAGCTCGGTCGATCCACACCAATCACACACGTGGCACAGGTACCTACCCAGTGAGCGTGAGATGAGGAAATACGAGCCTCCCGCCCGTATTTTGCCGTTGGTCGCCACGGCACTCAGAGAAAGCGCCGTGATGAACGTGCACGAGCAGCAAATGAAGACAATGAGCAGGCTGAAGAGAATCCCCGCCTTGCCCACGATCCAGGGCAGCCGGAGGAAGAGCAGCACCCCGAGTATGTTGGCCATGCACGGGAAGATCACCCCCATCACCACCCCCTGCTTGGGACCGCCCTCTGTCTGCATCTTCTCGTGGTGCTTGGCCGCCAGGCCTATCACCGACCCTCTGTCCCCCCGCCACACGGCATCCTTCTTCCTCGTGGACAGAGGGGTGCCGAAGCTGTCGACCTCCGAGGGACCCTCGGGCAGTGGGTCCATCCCGAGCCGTTGTCGAGGAGGGGCCATATCGCGATGCACTTGTATGAGTCGCTCGGCGGGCATGCTGTGGTGGCGGTAGACATCGAGGCCCTTCTCGGGGTCGGCTGCCTGCTGGTGGTGGTCAGGGAGGGGGACCTGCCTGGCCTGGTTGCTCTGCACGTGGCTTCGGTAGTCCAGGTCCCCCAACTCACTCGGGTTGACCGACGCACTCGTTTGGGGAAAGTTGTTGGTGGTGGTGGTCATCTTGCTGACTCAAATGCAGACCCCGGCAGCGACGCAGCAAAGACAGAACACTGCCAAAGAACGGGGAATGGAAGACTCCCGGATAAGGTGTCGAAAGAAGGTCGATGAACCAAAATTAGTCAATGCTCCACCTGGAGCAGGGCAGCTTGTACCGAGACCGCTCCCTCGAGGGCTTGGAGAAGGGAGAGATGGCCGCTCTCTCCTCGTAGCTCGCAAAACCCCCAGGCGCCCCCCGTCTTTTGGCACTTTCGGCGCCTTCCCTCCCCCCAGGATGATCAAGGAGGGCCGTCCTCGCGAATCTCTGGTGAGATGGGTGCATTGCAGCCACATGCAGCCACTGCATGCTCTCACATGCGTTTCTCTCCTCGTGCAGGTCAAGTATGACTCGCCTCTGGAGCTTGGCCCTGCGCCGGCCGGCCAGCAGCCCGGTGCGGCGAAGACAGCAGCGGCCAAGAAGAGCGGTGCGGGTCTCAAGGCGCAGCTTGGGAAGCGTGTGCAGCTGCCGCAGTTGGAGTCGAAGCCGAGCCCGGAGGACCTGCTGCACGCCATTCTGCCGCCACGAGAGTGGCTCGAGACCAACAGACACTACATACAGGTCTGTCTGTCTGTCTGCCCGTGCGGATGTGTTTGCTGCACTGCATCGACGACGCACACACACTCAACGAGTTGTGGTGTGTCTGACGTGAGACATGCAGTATGTGTCGAGCACCCCCGCGACGCGCCTGGATGTGATTCAGCTGCAGGAGGCCCTCGACCAGCGGCTGATGGAAAGACAGGCCCGGGAGTCGGGTATCTGCCCCGTCAGGGAGGAACTCTATGCACAAACATTCGGTGGGCCAAGGGGAGACAGACAGACAGACAGACGTCTGCGGGCGAGAGAGATGCTGATGCCGTGTTGGTGGTCAGATGAGCTGATCCGTCAGGTGACCATCAACGGGCCTGAGAGAGGCCTCCTTCTCCTTCGGTATGCTCACGCGGACTCTTGCGGTTCGCTTCTGACAGACAGACACCTTTCTTTCGTTGTGAGTGCAGCGTCCGTGACGACATCCGCATGACGATAGCGGCGTATCAGACTTTGTACGGGTCGAGTGTGACGTTCGGCACCCGCAAGCAGCTGCAGAGCGAGCAGGGCAAGTCGGAGACCGAACAAATGGTCAGCAAGAAGCAAGAGAGAGAAGGAGAGAGGGAGATTTGTATGGTCGGCTTGTGGTCCGATGTGGTGTGGTTCGTGTGTTTCATATGCAGATTGACGAGTTGGAGGCTCAGCGTCAGCAGTTGGAGGCCAAGGTGGTCGAGCTCAGGAACAAGTGCGAAGCTGTTGAACGGTCAGCACGACACACATGCGCACACACCCCATCTGCGCATCATTTTCTGTGGCTGTTGTGCCATGGTCGATGGGATTCAGTCGCGAGACGGAGAGGCAGCAGATTCTGAAGCGCAAGCGGCAGGAGGAGGTACATGCGCACGGACTGTACTCATCAGGACCATCCATCTCTACGTGTGTGTGTGTGTGTGTGTGTGTGTATGTGTGTCCGAGCAGATTGACTTCCTTAAGCATCAGGGTCAGCACCTGGAGGCATTCCTGAAGGGGCTCGAGAAGTAGACCAGACCCGTGTACCACGACAGTTGGGTGGTTGGTTTGTGGTGTGGGGCTGGGTGTGGGTGTGGGTGTGGGTGTGGGTGTGTGTGGGTCCATGGGGGGGGGGGGGGGGGGGGG